GGGAACTGAAAAACTGAAACTGGCAATTCGTGTGAAAAGTTTACACAACGCTTTTGGCATAAGCTTATAATGGATTTGTTAGCGGGTTTGTTGCGCTTCACTTGCAGTGCCTGTGGCCTGGTGTCTGGTGTCTGTGCAGCCGCAACAACTGGAGCTAACCCACGAAGCTGCTTATTGGTGGCTTCTGCGTTCAGCTAATGTAAATTATGGATAGTTCTAAGTGCCTGAGAGGCCTTGAGCTGGCATAGCTGCGATGACTGCAACTTAAATGCTTGGCTTCATTTGCATAGAAGTGAGCAAAAAGTTTCATAAAGTACGAAAGTTAGTTGAAAGGCTGGAGAAAGTAGTATTTATTAGGCGCTGATACAAAAAGTAGTCGGAAGAAGCAAAAAACTTTGGCAAATGTGCGAGGCATGTGTGATGATGGATAATTTGCTTAACTGAAATGGAGAGTAGAACTAAATGAGTATGAATATGAAAATATGAGCAAATTTCAATGAGGGTTTAGTTATACAGATAGATGATAGAACATAGATGGTAGATTATCAAGCTGATATGAGAATATTTTACTTAATTTAGCGACTATTCCTTTTGAGTCCTTTTCCAGTTAATGCTTGCTGTCCTAAAAGTATGCAATATTACTTTATGCTTGAAGAATGTCAAACCTTTGGATCTGCTTCTCATTTCTGTTTATGCTCCTGTGCTCCTTCTACTGATCTTTCTACAGATCTTTAGGTTAACTCATATACATGCTAGATTTCTTAGGTAGAGTCTCTAATCTCTCGAGGTAAGGTTTGGTCAGGTCTCAAATTGTGTTTCGAATTTTTGTCACCGTCATGGAGTCTTGCGTGTTGAAAAAATGTTTATAATAAAATCAATATATGCTTACCTCATATTTTGAAAATTCTACAATGCACTCGTTTGATTCCTTTGAAATAAATATTAAAAGAGAGCTCATAGCTTAAGTATAGATTGGCAGAAATACCTTCTTCACATTTCCCCTTTAAGCATCTACCAGATTTGCTACATCATTTAGCAATAGTTAGAAGAGTAGCTGCAAGATATTCGGTTACTATTTCTATAGTTCACCAGCTATTGCCTCTGCTTACCCTATCGCTGATTATCTGCCTTTAAGCTTCATCACTTGCTGTCAGTTGAGCTGTGAGCCACTGTGAAAGTCGCTCAGATTTCACAAACTGAGATCCCTATCAGTACAGAATAGAAACAGTTATAGCTGCACAATGGGCAGGATTCGTGTCGCAGTGGCAGCAGCGGCAGCTGCGGCAGCGGCGTCAACTGTCTGACTCGTTTATTTACGCCGACGGCGGAACGTTGAAAGCAAATTGATATTATGTGGATTTGGCTTTCACTTTGGTGGTATCAATAGGCGAAATCCTTTGCCAGAGTCCTGCTCCTGCTCCTGCTCCACGCCACTCCAGCTAAGCCAAGGATAATGATTATGTTGCGCAACGGGCGAAACGTAAGTGCTGGCAGGGGTCCCAATCAGCCAGGATAGACAAGCGCCTTTGCATGCCACGTTGGGGCTTGGGGCTCGGGGTTTGGTGGTTGGCGCTTGGTGCTTGGGGTAAGGTCGGCACTCTGCGCCTTGATGCGCCAGCATGGTATTTGTAATCGACGTGCGCTCAACAACATGGAATAATGGAAGCTGAAGTGATGTCGAGGCATACTCCAAGGCATTGCAACTAATTGGGTTTCGCTTAACGCTCCCTACAATGGGTTAGAGCCAACCGCACTGATGGAGCGGCTGGCTGCGTGTCTCTGTGCCACTTGATTGGAAAATCAAACTAATTAAAAGATTTCAATTAAATGTCGAGCAATGGCAATGCTACGACTTGGCGCAGTAATTCCATTAAAACGGCAAATCAATTTCAATAAATTCCAAGCGGCTTGAAAAGCGCACAAGGTAAGCGCACCAATTGAGGGCGCAACGACACGCCCACAAGTTCACAAGACATTGCCACATGCTGCTGCTGCTTCTGCTGCTGCTGCTGCTGCTGCTACTGATGTTGCCACAGCTGGCGTCGCTGTAAGCGTCATAAAACTGTTATATGCTGACAAATCTGTTAATTGAATCGAGAATCCAATTAAAACTTCAATTTTGCGGAAACTTTGCGCTTTTGATAAACTTCAAGAGCATCATAAACGGTCAACGTGCGGTCCCTGATTTCATTTCACATGTCGACGCTCCTGACAACACTTTACAGCTTCGCTGGCTATGCAAAAAAAAAAAAAAAAAAAGAAAATTAAAATATTAAAAAATATTGTTAGAGTTCTGTTTTACGCACTTGAAGCGTGTAAATTCAATAATGAATTTATGTGGGCATCGCTGATTGCATTAAAGTGCGCAAAATTTTCTAATTTGTGTGTCGACGACACGCACACACACACCCCCGCCAATGTGCGGCCCCCTCTGCCTTTAGTTAATGCCCCCCGCGTGCCTCTGGCTGCATTTGAAATGCCTGCACGCAAAAATAGTCAAAGCAAAACCGCAAGCTGCGCATAACTAACTGAAACTGCTTTATTTGGACAAACCACAGTAGAACGCATCCACCCCAGCCAGCGCTGGCCCTGTCCATGGCCCATTGCGCCCCAGGGGCAGCTGCCATACACAAGCAGCAACAAACAAAATATCTAAATACCCTGTAGAGTCGGGCAATGATTTAGGGCTTGATCGGTTTAATAGAATTATGTGAATTGCCTTCTCTATAGACACTGCAGTGTCTATAAATAATTTAATGAATATTTTAGTTACAAGCCGAGCATATATCATTATAATGTTACAACATGAAAAGCGAGTTTCTGGCACAAATTTTGTATTTTAATTAGTCTCGAGTTAATTTTGGCTACGAATGTTTTCCGCGTTTCATTTCAGCTCAGAGCATCGAATAACAACATTTGCCATGTTGCTAAGTACTGTTTAAACCAGGCAAAGAGCACGGGCTAAATGACAGCGGCTCCTATTACACATTTCGGCAGTTACACAAAGCCCATTAAAATTGCATTTAGTGAAAATTTATCAGTGTGCAGAAAGGTAGCAACCGCAGGCGCACTTTGCATTCGGTTAGCTAAAAGTGTGCGTGCCCGGAAACGGAAATAAAATAACTCTGGTATCACTCGGCAGTCAGCCAGTTGCAATGGCAACCAAAATGGTGGCGCCCATTCTCTCTCCCTCTCTCTCTCTTTCGCTCTCGCCCACTCAGCGCGTGGCACGCAGTTCTGCATTTGTTTGTCTGTTTGTTTGCTTGTGTGTTGGCGTGGGCGTCAGGCGTTTATGCAAATGTTTGGCCCGAGTGCTTTAACTGAAAACACTTTAACCGCATTCACCTTGGGCGACTGCTTGTTAGTAGCCATTGAAAGCAGCAAGAGATACAAACTCCATGCCATGACCCAGTGCCTGCTGCTGCTCCTGCTGCTGCTGCTCCAACTCTAGCCGTGTTGCCCAAAAGCCCATAAAATGCCTGCAAGTTAGAGCCTTGGCCTCCAACTTTCCCCAATGGCTGTTGCTGCCGAAAAATGTTTCATTGCTTTAGGTGGCTTCTGGCGCCCGCATACGGGGGTAGACATCTGCAGTCGACTTGTGTGCCACACCTCGCCGAAAGTCAGACATTTCTCTCGCTCTCTGTTCATGGTTCCATGAGCTGCTATTATATAGTGTGTAGCATACCGTAATCTTACTTCAGTCAAAGGTTTTGCACGACCAACCGAAACACTCTCTGCTAAACAGACACGCTCACACTCACACTCACACTCACACTCACACACGGGGCAAACACTTTGGTGTGTTTATTATGGAACTGTTTTTGCCGCCCTTGAAGCGCTGCTCTTGGGGTTGCTACGGCAAAATATGCTCGAGCCCGCACTCAAAGTCGTGCTGGTACTTAGTAGATGAACTCGTCGGCTCAGATATTGTTTGATTAAACACATTAGCATTCACAAACGCTTTAAACCAGCTTAGCACAGAGAGTGCAACCAGATAAGGAGCAGTCTTAGATGTGTTACTAATAAATTCAGAGTAGCTACAGATACACTGTCATGCTGAGAACGCTAAGAACGTTTGCCAGACAAACAGATTCAGGATTCGGCTTGTTTTCAATAATAATTCTATTAGCCGTGTCAAGTAGAGGTAATCGCATGCTTAAATTATGAGCATTCAGCATTCAGAGGTGAATGCTGTGGACAAGAACTTTCAACAACTTTCCATATAATGGGTAGGTGTTACTTAGCGCCTTTTCCAACACTGCCACTTACAACGGCCAATTACCACAACAACTATAGCAACAGCAGAAAAGCGAAGGCAACTCGAGCTGGTGAAAACAAAACAAACATTTTCTCTCACGAAATTTATCGTTTGCATAAATTTGCTTTATTGCCCTGCTCCTAAGCCCTGTTGTTGTTACAGTCTGTGTGTGTGTTTGTGTGTGTGTGTGTGTGTGCAGGAAGTGTAAGTTTCGTTGGCAGACCAGGACAAGGCCATTTACAACAACAGCAACAACAAGGAGCCAGGCGTATGGCAAATGTGGCAAGCAAAGTTTTCCATTATTCAATTTAACTAATGAAACTGAAAATTCATTTTACCACATTAACACACACACACACACATACACATACATATACATATATGTGGGGTTGCAGAACGATGGATGGGACAGGAAATGTGAGCCGTTGCCGCCAGCAGCAAGCAGGACATGTGTGCGTGTTGTTTTGTAGCCTGCTCTAATGTACGGCTCCTCGTTGTTGCCTTTGTGGGCGTGCGTGTGTGTGTGCTGGGCTCTATAAAACGCGAAAATTTATATTTAGATGGCAGCTAGGACCATGTCCAGGACAGCGTCCAGACGTCACACAGCCCCGCACTCTGGCAGCATTTCAATAATTAAACATACTTTCAGGCAATTCCATGCCCATTCGTCGGGTGTCTGGCGTCTGCCTTTGGAGCAATGTGACGACATTTCGACGACCTTATAAATGATGTGACCAAAATGTGCGTTTAGTTCATTTATTTAACGCTGCCCCTCACCCGGCGCCTCGGGTGAGATTTACGAGCTCTGATTTCGATATACCTTAAATTTTTATTGCTTTCATCAATTGTTGCGTTGAGGAATTTGAGGAACAACAACAATAACAATACTTAGTGTGCATCATTATTTAGATCATCATCATCTGCATTCTCGTCGTCATCGTCCTCATCGTCGTCGTCGTCGTCGTCGTCATCGTCATCGTCGTCGTCGTCATCGGCATCGTCGTCATCGTCGCCGTTGTCATTGTTATCGTCCTCGTCATCTGTCTGCTGCTCCTCGAGCTCATCGCTGGAGCAGGGGCTGTCGGAGCTATTGTACTGCTCCTCGGCTCCCTGCTCGTCGGCAACATCTGTTATTGCTTCCTCCTCGCAGATATCTGTTTCTGTCTCCTCAAAGCACACAACCGTACTGCCAACATGGTCGCCATTGCCCAGCTCCCGTCGCTGGAGGCACTGTGGAGTTGTTGTTCTCTGGCCACGTACATTATCCCCCGGCTTAAGTACCACATCTGACTGATCCTTGATCTGTTTTCGCAGTGTCGACTGGTTGCTGTCCAATCTGGGTGAGTTCTCCTCGCCAGCGGCATAGCGATTGCCAGAGCTGCCCGATGCATCTTGCTTCTCCGTGCCTTCGTTTGGCGTCAGCATCGGCACCAGCTTTGGCTCGATGCTCAGCTCGTATTCGGTGAAATCGAACAACGGCGGCAGACGCCGTCCGTTGGGCAGCTGCTGGCCGGGATCGTTGCGCAGCTCATCGAAGAAGGAATGCGCACAGGCCGACAGAGGCGTTATACGGTCGTTAGGTGTGTAGATAAGCAGCTTGGATACCAGATCTATGGCCTCGGGCGGTGTGCGAATGCGAAATACCTTGGGCCAAGGATGCGCCTTCAGCTGCGGCAGCTTCAATTGCTTGTAGTTTGGATTCATGTCGTGGAGCTGCTCGGGCGTGGGTGTGCCCATCACCTTGACAATCTCAACGATCTGGTCCACGCCCGAGTCGCCGGGAAAGATGAGCTGGCCCAGCAGCAACTCGGCCAACACGCAGCCCGCACTCCACATATCGATTTTGGTGTTATAGTGCGTGGCTCCAAATATTAGCTCCGGTGATCTGTAGTATCTGGAGCAGATGTAGGACACATTCGATTCGCCAGGTGTCAGTTGCTTGGCGCTGCCGAAGTCGCACAGCTTGAAAACGCCCGTCTCCGTGTCCAGGAGCATATTCTGCGGCTTGATATCCCGATGACAGAAGCCGTAGCTGTGCATGAAGGCCAGACTTCGAAACATCTGATACATGTAGAGTCGGATATAGTTGACGGGCAGCGTTTGCTTAGCGCGTGCATACTGCCGCTCCACCTTGTAGAGGGTTTCGGGCATGAACTCCATGACCAAGTTGAGATAAACATCGTCTCGCTTATCGCCACTGGAATAGAAAAAGTATCTGAGGGTTATAATATTTGGGTGCTTAAGCCTTCGCATTATCTGGAGTTCACGATTCTTGAATCGGCGATCCTGCAAGACCTTCTTTATGGCGATCGGCTCGTTGCTGGGCATCAGCTTGGCGTGAAAGACCACGCCGAAGCTGCCGTTCCCAATGATCTTGCTGTCCATATAGCTGATCTCGGTCATCGTGTCCGGGCCGTAGCCGGCGGTGGCCACCACAGTGGTCAGCTTGTTGTTCATGTTGGAACCCTTGGCAGCCATTTTAATTTCAAAAAATTTGATTTTTTTTCCCCTTTAATTATGCAGTCTGTTCGCTTGTTTACTTTTTGATAAAGATATACTGTTCTGTTTTTGACTCTATTTCAGATTTTTATACAAAAGACAAATAATAATGACCTAATTTATGGGGACTAGACTAATGAATCAGCCTTTCAAGACATAAGTATATTGGCTATTGTTTTCTGTATTTTTGGTTAATTTCTATGTCCCTATTTTACTATGGTTGCTCTACCGACCTATAGGTCAATACCTACTTGATTTGCACAGTCGACACGACATTTATTTGCCAACTAATCGACAGTAATTTAAAAGTGTTCTCTTCTCCTGGTCAACAGCTTGAGGCGATTCACTGCACTCATTTAATGGGTTTCTCTCTCTGGAAATATATTTTATCTGGCTTATGCTCAACCCACCAGCTGCGGTTAGGCATTGCTATATTAATAGCACTACGCTGACTAAATCATGCTGAGTTTTGTAAAGCAAGGGGCTTTTCAAATTGTTTTAAATACGCTGCTCGTTTCAGAAATCATTATTAGTCGCGAGCGAGAGCCAAGTGCTATTAGTTTAGTCTGAAAAGTGTCCGACCGAAAGTGAACCGCGTGCCAAACATGAGTTTAAGTACAACAATTATCAAATTTCTGTTGCTTTTGTTCAATGTCTTGTGTTTGGTAAATACAAGAATTGTGTTCAATATAATAATTCTCGAAAGTTAAATGGGTATATGGGTTTTGTTGTACGGAACTTAAGCCCTAAAATTATACACAAAGTGTCAAGATTTTCTCGATCCTCATTATTAGGGCGTGGCTAACGGCATTTCAGAAGCCATGGAAGCCGTCTTACAAGCAATGACCAAGAATGATATGAAAGTGCCCACTAGGGCGTGACGAATTGGATCTGAATACATAGCGCTTTCTACAAATTCTTCCATATTTTTAGCACTATTAGTGCTAAAAAGCTCAGTTTTACAGCAATGACAGATTAATGGCATCTGTTCAATTTAGGAAATCGGAATAGCTGTTATATAGCTAAAGCTATTTTTACCTTAGGCAGATTTTATCAGACATACATTGCGATGATTCGTCAGGCTAAATTTATTAATTTGCCAATAATTGCTTGACTCTGAGCACCCGCATTTCAAAAAACCACAGCTGCCTAAGTGTGACTTATCTGAAGTTTTGCAGTATTATAATGAGTGCGTACATTTGCTATTTTAGATATGCGGACTGATTCTCACTGTAATAGGGACCATCATGGTCTTGCAGATCAAAGACGTGTCTAGCTTTGCGGAAATGGTTTCTATGAACACCGTAGCGATCACAGCCTTAACAATAGGGGCGTTAGTCGTTACGTTATCGCTAGTGGGATCCTTTGGAACGTTGCGCGAAAAAGAGGGCCAATTAAGAATCGTGAGTTTTCGTTTTATCTCTGGTATATTTTGCATATATGCATATATATAACTATATTATTTTTTATAGTACTCGGTGGTCATGCTAATTTTGTTCCTAGTGCAAGTGGCCTTTGCCATCTATCTCTGGGAGAAATATGACGACATCCTCGGTGGCGTTCTTAAATTTATTCAAACTGTGTTTGATCAACGAGCAACAGATTTCAAAGTTCTGCATACACTCGAAAGATTTGTAAGAGAATCATTAAGAGAGTGTTTCTTTAGGAATGGAATTATATTAAATCTCCTTGTTTAGCTGAAATGCTGTGGCGCAAATGGAGACAACGATTACTTTCGATATGGTGAAGATATTCCCGGATCCTGTTGTGGTCTTGCCACTGCAGTTACCTGTCGGCACCCTTTTCCAGTTGGCTGCAAAAATGCAATAACCTTTGTTTGGCACTCAAATGCCAGAATTATCAAGCATAGTGCCCTAATACTTTCTGGAATAATGGTAATAATCTCATCAACTTACTAATTGCAAGTCAGTCTAACTATTTTTTCTTATAGGTAACGGTTTCCCTGATGGCCACCTATATGGCCAGAAAGATAAATGAGATAAACACGGCTGAAGAATGAGGTGATGGTGTTGATATATAAATAGACTCTAGCTTTCTGATACGCATGCAAGTTACTGCGATTTCATTCTCAATCGATCCAACATCATAATTATATTCTGATTTTATTTGAAACATATTTTTATTATTGTTCGGATTCGAGAGTTCCACATGTAACGTGGAAGCTTTAATAAATATTATCAGACTCAATTTTCATGTCGTCTTTTAAATGATAAACTCTCTGATTCTTTTCGGACAGTATGTCGAGCGATCCACGTAAATATACTACATATATTATTTTCATCAGGAGCAACAAAACTTTTATAAATATGAAACTCTATATAAAACTCATTTCAAATAATCATTAAAATTCATAATCAAATAAAGGGCAGTATACACTGATAAAATAGGCACAGATTGTCACGGACTTCTGGTACTATGGCACTCTCAGCTGACAGGGTGTGCCTAACTTTTGGTGTGCAGGGTAGCACCTGGTCGGGCACTTGCCCACACAGTATTCTTAGCTTTCTTGGAACCTCTTTCGTTGCGCTTATCTCGCCGGCTAGAGACATTGTTACATCGTGATACTTGGTGTAGACTTCTGCTCCTATGCGCATTCAGTTGTAACTCAAGGAATTCTTTGTGTTTGCTCCAAGTTGGCTAATTTCGAGTCCTTGTCCACGTCCGACTTGAAACTTGTTTGCCATTGTTCTCTGTGCTGTGCTCACTTGCTTATCGGGCGAGGCTCAGAGGTTTTGCTGTTTCTCTTCCACCCGGGGGTCAATGATAACGCGGGTAGATGGTAGATGTTGTATAAAATGCTTTTATTTTTGCAGTTATTTTGTATGTTGTATATCGTTTATGTATATATATGTGTATATATAAATATACATACATATACATAAATATATATTAGATATATAAAAGTGACACACTCATTGTAAAATCTTGTTAGACACAGATACATACATAATATTTAATTTTAAGTATTTTTTCTTTTTTATTTGCGGTTGATTTTGAAATATTTTCCATTTAGTTTCGTTTAAGTGCTAAAAAATCGATCAACTTACAAAGGGTATTTATTATATGTATTTGTTTGTTATTAGATTTATGGTATTTATTTCATATACGTATTTCTTTAATAAGTATTTCTAATTAGACCACAAAAAGTTTGTATTTCATTTTATTAAAATTAAAATTATTTTTTTAGTGGCAGTGTTTAAAAATTAGTTCTCGTTGTTAACTAAAGAGCAGATGGGCAACGGCTAAAATAAACTCATATTTACATAATACACACACACACACACAGGCAGATACACACACACACACGCCCACTCACTCACACACACACACACAGACACGAACCATAGATAAACAGATATTTGCGCTTAAATTAGTTGCAAATTATTAAACTAAATTGGGCTTAAAATATGCTCGAACTTAGTGTGCTGTATGTGTGAGTGTGTGTGCGTGTGCGTGTGCGTGTACGTGTGTTTATTTGCGTGCGTGTGTGTGTTTGTTCTTTGTGGGCTGCGCTTACATAAATATTATTGAAATTGCTGGACGTTGTTGGCATAAGTAAGTAAGTTGTTTATTTTTATTATAGCTAGTTTTATAATGTTTGACATACATACATGCATGCATGTACATACTTGTATCTCTCTCTATATATATATGCGTATGTGTAATATAATTTTATTAAAATTACATTTATGAGCTACTTAATAAATTTATTTGGCTTTGCTTTTCTGCTTCCGCTTCTTGTTAAATTTCTCCATTGAAGTAAAATTAAATTTTACATAATTTTCATGCTGCTTTTGCGGCATTATTTGTATGCGTATCAAATTGGTTCTTAGTAGTTAATAAAAAAGCATATTTAATTTACTTGCAGGCCCCCCAAATACACACACACACACACAGGCAAACACACACACACACACACATTCGAAAGCAACGCACGCATAACAATAAAATTTTATATTTATCGCTAACGATTTCCTTGGCCAGGAAGCGCAAGTGTCTTTGTTGTGTCTATGTGTGTGTGTGTGTGTGTATGGCTAAGCCTCAACATACATACATATACATACATGTATATATATACTCGTAAGCATAAATATATTTTTCTGCTGCTTGCTTTCGGGCGTCTTCCTTTTGCTGTCTGTGTGGCACGCATATTTTAATAAATTTTATGCCGCTGAAATGCGCGCCGCTTATCATTAACGCACAATTTATTTTTGCTTTTATGTTGGTGGTAGTCTTATTGTTGTTGCTGCTGTTGTTTGTGTGGGCCTTCTTATCTGTGAGTTACATTTGCTTTTTTGGCTTTTTGATTATTTGCTGCGCATCGTAAGCTATTTCAAAAATTCGTCGTATTTTTGTTTGTTTGTTTATTCGTTTGCATGCATATTTTAAAGTGTTTTGCTTAGCTAATTAGTTTTAAGCATCTGTACACATACACACGCTCACACACACACACACACGCACACACATACATACTAAAGATTCGTTACAGACATTATCTATTTACATGTTGGCAGAATGTACATTTAATTTGCAACGACAAAGCCCGCAACGTTGTTGTCGATTCGAAAGTTTTGCGCAACTTTTGGCCCAACGGCTTTTAAATGTTGTTCAGTGTTGTTGATGTTGGTTGCTAGTTGCTGGTTGCTAGTTGCTGGTTGCTGTTTGCAGGCTGCAGTTGTTTTTGCGTAGCATACTTTTGTGCGAGCGCCCGCATCTAGTTTCCATTTAACTTTGCACTTACACGTGATGTGGCCGTTGTTGTTGCTGTAGTTGCTCAGAGCCATGCTTGTTGCTGCTGCTCGAACAGTTGCTGCTGCTGCAGTTGGTGTTGTTGTTGCTGCTGCTGCTGCTGTTGCTGTTGCAGCCAAAGTTTGCAGAAAGCAGTTGGCGGGGGCGCCGAAGCGCAAACTGTGGCAGCTGCTACTGCAACGTGCTGCTGTTGCTGCTGTTGCTGGTGTTGGTGCTGTTGCTGTTGTTGTTGCTGCTGCTGCAGGCTCTGGCCGTG